GCGCAAACAGATCTGGAACGCGACAGATTTCGTGACTGTTCGAAAGCAAGTAGCTATTCAGCTTTCAACCGGACGGGGATTAGGCTTGTAACAGGATTGCAGACAGTTTACTTTGTTTTCGCTGTAATAAAGGAAGGATTTGATCAGTGATATTTGATCATTCAGCGTTATAAAACCTATCGAATCGGAAAGAACACAATGGTTCCTTTGAAATCAATTTCTCATTCATTGTATATATTTCAATTTAAAGAATTAAAATTTAATATTCAAATTCGAATTTTTTTCATACAATCATAATGAACCTTGCTTTTCGATGACGATTGAATTAATCAACCACATGAAAGTTAAATTAGGTAATGATCACGCAACGAAAATATTGTATCCAGGCAAGTATTCCAAGTACAGAAAATTGAAGCCAAGCAATTGATCAATTTGAATCTTGCATGTACATTACACACTTAATTCCTAATAAGGACAAAAGAGAATAAATACCATAGATTATCATTAATTCTAAGAAACGACGTTATCTTAATGTTAATAGGTGGGAACGGCGATCGAGAGGCCTTGTCGCGAGACAGTAAGGAAAGGTCCTCGAAGAGGAGTGTGAAAAGCGTGAAGGAAAAAGATAGCGGTAAAGAAAACGTCGACGCAGAGAAGCGAGAGAAGAAGATCCTGCATAGAATAGAGAAGATCGAGAGGACAGAAAAAGTGGAGGCGCAAGAAAAGGTTCTTTTGATATTTTTTAATATAAAGAAACAACAAATGATACAATGATTACAAGTGATTCGTACTAATTGTCGCTCTTTTTTTTTTTCAGTCTGTCGGTAAAGAGATACTGGTCAACGAAAGATCGTTGGACAGTCCTCTGGAGAAGCAGTCCGAAAAGGAATTTTCAGGGCTGAAGGAGACGAAAGAGAAGGAGAAAGTTAAGAGGGCAGTGTCCGAACCATCTCTCGTATCTCGTGAGTCAACGTCCACGCCTAGTGGCCGGGAGAAACACAGGCATCGAAGGACTAAACGATCCCACAAGCCCAGACCTCCGAGCAGATTTGGCTACGAAATAGCGGATCTCGATGCGTACCTCACCAAAGTACACTTTCATTGATCCTTTCATTAAACCTTGCACGATCGTCTGGTATCTGATTGCATGAAAGATGCACTTGGTCTATTCGGATAAGAAGAAGTTGTAGTTTACCAGCTCGTTTAAAAGTTTGGAATATTCTTTACTTTTTGAAAGCTACATTTTTTTGAGAAAGGAAGACAGGAACGTTATAAATTACTCAAATACTTTCAGTAGTATGAGCAAGTAAGAGTATGAATAAAATATTTATTCACCAGAATGAAGGTAATAATAACTTATTAGAAGCAAATGATTTTAATATCTTGACATGCATAAAATTTTTAAGCTATTAAGCATTGCATCTTTTGTTAATTTTATGAATATTGCAAATATATTTAGAGTGTTTATTACATGATGTTCAATTATTTATACAAACTTGAATTACTTATAACAATTATTAGTTCCCAGATGTTTAGTAAGGAACAAATAGCGATCCTCTTCCCTTAAAAATAAACGACACTAGTTGTAATGATAATTTGACATGGTCTCGACAATATTGTTTTGATATTTACAGGCCTCGATAGAAAAACCTGCCAATATTCCTGTGGTCCTCTCGTTTCCATCCGTCCTGTACCAGACTCAAGGTGGTACTCAAGATGAGATGGCCCTCCCTCTTGGAACAGTTGTAAATGCGGTGTTCAAGAATCAAACCTGGTTGTACGTTCAAACTCCACACGGCCAGGAAGGATATGTCGGCTACGCAGCTTGTTTACCATTAGGAATATTACCACAACCAACCAGAGGACCATGTTGGGAGGACTCTACAGACGTATTTCCTCGTCCCTTAGGTAACGGAACGATTCATTTCTCATTTATTATTCATTTCTCGTTCTTTCATTAATTAATTGATTCTTCCAGGCAATATGACTGATGCGGAGAAGCTCAGAGACACGAGATCAGAGTGCGGAGCTCGAGGCAGAAATCCAAGGGTAAGACGAAGTTCTAGGGACGCAGTGTCAGCGTGTGGGGAACGCAGCGTCGACAGATTGTACCTGAGGGCCGCGGCGAACGCTCGAACCAAAGGATCTCGGCACACTTTGCTCGTCATACGCAGCGACTATGAAGGTCAAGGTGGCAATGCTCTAAGCGTCTCCAAAGGCGACGTTGTTGCACTGCTTAGCGATCACGTCAGTGATTGGTTCTGGGTCCGTTCGCGAGACGGCCGGGAAGGATTTATACCTGCGGTGATAGCAGGTCATGGATTCCTATGACTATTGCGCTGCTATTGTCTAAAATTAGTTGCTCGTTCGTCGAGACTCTTCGCGAATAAATCATTGTTGTATTAATTTGTCATTTAACTTTTTATCTTCGTTTAATTTTTTCTAACAAAAGCCGCAGTGCTCTTCGTAATGAGAATTTGGTATGTTCAATATCCAACTAATTTTAAACGGACACCACATTATACATACTTCATAAATGATCTGTTAGTCGAATCTACTGAGAGTTGAAAAAGAAATCGCAACTAACAAACAAATACCTGTACATTTGTAAAAAGTTTTACATCATATTTTATAAAATGCACATTATGTTAATATATTTATTAAAAATATATACAAATCCATATATAAAATAAAAAGATATATAAATACGTAAATATATGAAAATATATACTTATGGTTATTATTACTATTATTATTTACTAGTTATTATTTACTATTATTCTTATTATTTACTATTATTCTACGGAGCAAATTGCAACGTTAATTCACGGTAATTACAGTTCGTACAAATATCAAGGAAGTTTGATGCACCACCTATGCTAAACAGTTTTTGTGGAGTTTCTTGATAAACAACAGTGTATATAGTGTCGCTGGACGTTGGTATACTAGATAACATCTCTCCTTGATAAGTGAGATGATAAACGTGGGGCGCAAGTCCTGCGGCTATAATACGTTCTTCATAGATCTTTGCCACATGAACACCTTTATCCGGAAGATCAAATACAGTAGCTGGTTGCATTGTACGCATATGCCACAATGATAACTTTGGCCCACCGCCGCATAACTGAATAATTATTATACATTAGATTCTTTTTTAATTATTAAAATAAATATACCTATTGCAGAAAGATACAAGAAAATAAGTACCAGCCAATCCTCAGTAAAATCCACCGCACCTATCCATTTCCCTAATCTTGGTCTATGAAGATTGTCTACCAAATTAGGTGTTAATACGTTGGTATTCTCTTTCTTTCTTAGATCCCATAGTCTTACTGTTCCATCTTCACTACACGAAGCTAATTGAGTCCCGCAATCCCTGTGGAAAAAAGAATGATTTATATAAAAACTACATTATGCATTATTTATGATTAATTATATAATACATACAACAGCGATAAATCATGAATGAATCTGGTATGTCCTTCCATAGTGGTTACTACTTTACCATCTTCTAGGCTGAATACATAAATCTTACCATCATTACAACCAGCGTACAAGAGATTATTTACCTTGCAGTGCATAAGGGAAAATACACACGCTCCCTCATAACTATCACTAAAAAATAGATTGTGTTTTAAACTGTAATAACTTTATCATTATTCACTCAAGGTTTTATTATATAGTCTTACTTCTCAGCTGGTACTCTTATAGTCCATGAAACTTTATTTTTTTCAGCTTTGCCCGTGATAACTGACTTCCAATCCCATCCACATATTTCTCCTACTGATCCTGTTACTAAAAAGTTTTCTGTAGATACCATACTATCCACGTGAGAATCTGAATGAGCTTCAATGTGATAACTAGGGCGTCGTAATTCATTTTCAGTTCTTAGCGGTCTTAATATTTTCGATATTCTGCAAAAAGAAATTCTATGAATTAAAAAACATATCCTAGATTATAACATTAACTTCAACATTATTGAAGATTTGAATATTAAGCAAAAGAAGTTGTTTATACGTTGTCAATATAACCTATATTTGTGCACTGATTATTTATATCTACTTACTCGAAAACTGCAACATCTCCGTAAAGACTTCCAGCTACCAAGCAACTACCATCCGATGAGAAGCATTGTGACATTATTGTATTATAAAATAACCTTCGACGCATCGATTCCGACATCATCTTTGGTTGATTTTTGAAATCAAGGTTAGAAATCCAATTCAATGGAATTGAAATGAATAAAAAGGATTTTACCCTATAGATATTATCGTAAATATAATATTGAAATAATTTACTCGGCAGAGTAAACGTCTATATGGCAGAGTAATAGCGTGATAATGTTACAGCGTGACTGCGTTTGATTACTTACAATTAGTGCAGGCTAGTTATACTATTTTCCAAAATATAAGCGAACCAATCCGAGTTATGTTTCCAATCCAAAAAATGTCCGATCTGAAGAAAGGACTGCGAGGCATATTTGCGACAAAATATAAAGAAACTTTAACACTATAGTCTACAAAATCTTCTACTCTCTCACGGAGTTGAAAATTTTGTATTAGAAAATTAAAGACTACTAGTATAACAAATTGATTTTATTGAATGTAATATCTAAGTCTGACATGTAAATAATAAAATATCTATGTCTGTCATGTAAGTAATATCTATGTCTGTCATGCAAGTAATAAAATATATATTGTGAGAAGAATATTATCTATTAACATACAAAATATTTCAATTGAGTTTTGATACGTATAGCATAAAACAATTCAAATACTATGATAGAGCATTAAATTTAATAAAAGTCTTCTTCAGCTACTTTCGTCGATGATGCTTGATTTTTTATCTGCTCTTGACTGTTGTACATATTCGCAACTTGTTGCGCTGATGTAGCATCCTCGCTGTTTTTATCATCACGAATACGAATAAACCGTGGAAATCGTAATGATATCCCTTTCTCTGGATCAACAGTACCAACAGCTGCTTTATGAACAGGTGACAAAGAGAGATCTGCACATTTGATTTCCCAGACTTGAACTGCTTCAAACCAATGATCAGGTTCTAGAGATGAGTCGTAACGGTAGTAGGACTTAGTTTGTGATATTATATGTTCTTTAAAGAACTCGGTATGCTTTTGAAGGTCTTCTTCACTGAATCCAGTACCGATCTAAATAAACATAGAACATAAAAGAATGGAATGAAATTCCAAAAGGGACCATATAAAATTTACTCTAAATATAAAAAGACTCCAGAATATTACAGCAAGTTAATGATATTTACTTTACAGATACTCTGATATTCTTCATTCTCTTGATCATAACAAGCCAAAAGAAATCCTCCATAAGTTCCGGTTCTTTTCCCTTTTCCTATATAACCACCGATGACAACTACATCTAACGTGTCACCCGCACCATCTAAATAATCTTTCTTCAATTTTAACCAATTCCGAGAGCGTTTAGCAATCTCGTATGTTGCATCTTTTTCTAAGGTCTTCACCATAAGACCCTCGCAATTGCCTGTTGAATATAATAATATATTTTTTTGAAACTACGTATTATAAAATAAATCAAAGATTAACCTTTGACCGATTCATCTAAGAAATCTTGAACTTGTTCCATAGTCGAAGTGTCTAAATTAGTCGCGAATTTCCATTCTCCAGTTACTTCCTTGAAATTCTTTCTCAATAATTCACGACGTTTTATAAAAGGTTGTTGCACTAGTGATTCTCCATTCAAGTATAGTAAATCAAACATGAACACACACACTTGAACTTTAATATTTGTTTCGTTCGCATCCTGTGAGATGAAGATAAATGTAAAATTTAAAAAGCAATCTTTTGTGCATTTTGCATTACCTTGCGTTTTCTGGTACTAAGTACTTGAAAAGATAGAATTTGTTTGTTCTCATTATCCCAAGCGACTGCTTCGCAATCGAGAATACAACTCTCAACTTCGTCACTTTTGGTATTTTTAAATCGTCCTACGATATCAGGATATTTGCTGGTATTATTTTCTTGATTCCTACTATAGATACTAATTTTGCCATCCTCAGCAAAATGAATCTGCAAATTATTTATAGAAATTTAATACGCTCTTTCGTCACAATATATCATTTTTACATTACGGAAAATAAACCTGTGCTCTTTCTCCATCGTATTTCCACTCGCAAGTGAACTTCAGTCCATCGAAACGCGTTAATACTTCTTGCACACCTTTGGTAGGATGCGCTAACATTGGTTTCATAGGTATTCCCGGTGTAATTTTACATTTTTTTGGTAATTCTTCAATTCCATCTTTTAGTAGAACGGGAATTATCTTATCATAATTCGGACATTCGCTGAAATAAATATTATTATTACATATATAGGTAAACTAAAAATTCAGATATCTAACGTAAAAAAAAACAAATTTTTACCAATAAGTTGTTTTAAGAGTAAGCGCAGTTTCGTCGTACTTTTGTTTAAAAGCATCGCTTGACATTTTCTTACTCATATCTAAAATTTCTGGTGGATAGCTTTGCTTTGGTGGTGTCATAGTACACGCTAATGCTATAGCCTATAAACATTTTTTTATCATACTTTTTGTAACACTGTCCCTGGATTAATTTTTCTAATTGTACGTGTACTTACTTGTAACACAGATTGTTCCGCTAAACCAATTCGAAGTTTACCGGCCAAGGACCGAATCAAATATCTGGCTTCAGTAAAACGACATGCTACAAAAAGCGACTGAATTTTATCCAATTTTCTAGTTAAAGACTGTAAAAATAAATTATATAATTACAATAAAAATATTCTAAAAGTTGTATGATTACAACAGCGATATAAAGTAATTATAATAAATGTATCAGTGCCGTTCATGAACGAAAATTTTTACATGCTTTTTTACATACTTGTATGCTTGTGCCATTATTATTAGCTTTAAAAAAATTATTAATCAGAAAAAATTATTAATCCGATAAACAAAACAGAAAAGGGGACAGCACTGTTTTATATTAGTGGACATCGTACCGCGGAACCAGTCATTTGCGCGATCTCTTTCAGTTTAGTATATACATTTGATACTGTTAGTGGAGCAGGTTGAAACATAGTTCTTTGATTGGAACGACTTCCTTCTGCCACAATACCCAAATCACCAACTGTTTGGACATCTGCTTTAATCTGAGCTAGAGTTCTACCAGTGCATTGTGCTATAGCTTTCATTAAATTTGTTTCTGCCACACCTAATTCGATACCTGGAAATAATGATAACATTCAAACAAAAGAAAAATAAAAGAAAATGATATATGTAAAATATGATATGGGTACCTTCATAAGCAGGAGCTAATTGATTGAGACACAAATATATGCTAGGAAGTAAGTCATCTGGGCTTAAAATGATAACAGATCGGAAATAATTCGATAAAATTTCTATTATTTTTAATCGAGCGCTTATTTCTTCAATTAGTTCCAATGTACGTGTTAATGCAATATACGGCACCCTATGAAAGATTATGAAAGATTAAGCAAGTGTTTTATTGCAAAAAATAACAGTATTAGAAGTTATTAAAACAAGGCCATACCGTTCACCTTGTTTCCAAAATGCATCATTTATTGGATTATATTTTGAAACACTTGGATTATAAGAGTGACTGGAGGACTTTTTTTTATCTTTATCAATATTCTTTATGTCTTCTTTCTCCTTTGGAGCTAAAGATATGAATTATATTAAAATGGTTATTTATTTATTTACTGATAGATTGATGTTCCATACCAAAAAAATTATGTATCTTTTTCGCAGACTTTTCCATATCGTCTTCTTTCTTATTCTCTTCTTCACTACTTTTTTTATCATCTGAAACATTCTCATCAGATATTTCTGTTTCATCAACTTTCTTTTCTGGACTTTCTTTTCCCTCATCGACACTTGCTTTTTTAGGACTCTCTGTTAACTATTAAGTAACATATATAACAATTACATATTACTCTGTTAACTATTAACATATGTAACAATTACACATACACACACACACACACAAATTATACATACTGGAATAGTTTCTTCTTCATCACTAGAGTCAATAGGTGCTATTATTCTTAATCTCTTTTTTACAACCTTCTTTTCATTATTTTTAATATCCTTTTTACTTTTGGCTACTTCAGGTGAAAATTTTGATGCTTCAAAATTTGAGTCTGTCTTCTTTTCTACAATCAACTCATTTTCCTTCTGCTCTTCATTATTTAACTTATCTTTCAATTCCTTCTTTGCATTGCTTTTTTTAGGAGTATTTTTAGTTTTATCAAGTTTCTTCTTTTTTTTAGAAGCACTAAGTGGAGTTTCAGCTTTTCTCTTTTCATTTTCCCCAGTTGTTTTAATGGGTGATAGCTTAATTTTTCGTGTTCCTTAAATATAAATACAACATCAAAAAAATTACATACAAAATGTAGATTACATTTATTTAACTATATATCCAATTTACCATTTGTTTTTCCCAATGATGAAGGAGATTTTGAAACTGATTTCTTCTTTGAAAAATTTCTGATAGATGGAGAACTAGATAAATAATGAATACCTTACATTAGTAACATAGATAACATTTTATGTCAGTGTTACCACAAATGTATTAATAATTATTTACAAGATTTTTAAGTTTAATACTAATTTTTTAAAAATTATGATTTAATCACCTGGTAGTTTCTTTATCTTCAATACTGTCTCTTTTTCGTTTAGTATTTCCTGGATTCTGTTCTTCATTCTTTACAATTTTGCTGTTGGCGAACATCCGATTAACAACATAGTTTACAATTGGAAAAAAAGCATTATTCAATTGAGATCGTTTATTTAAAAATACCACAGGATAAGTATTATTAAATATATTCGATCTTAAATCGAATGCAATACGAATAAATTTCAATGAAATAATCATACTTTAATAATCCACGTACCTTACATCATTAGATTCAGTTTTATCTTTCGAACTGACTTTTGAGAAAAATAACCTATCAAATAAAAGAAAATTGTTATAAGCAGATTAAAAACAATCAATAAATTGTTCTATTAAATTACATACGTTATACTACGTTGTGCCATTTTATAGCTTTTTATGGTTATTTCAATGTACTGTTCCCGCGCATATTTTGCGAGTCCAGGGTCTACATAATGTATTTACTAAAGTTTAGTATATAAAACGGAGGATGATTCAACTGGTTAAAAATTTATTTTATACGCAAATGTAAGATGAAAAAAAAGATTTTTTTTGTTCCACAGCTTGTTTTCGATAAAATTAATGTAAGTTTGAAAATGCACCGTATTCTAGTTACGTATCTAGTTACACATTTATTTGAACAGTGAAACCCATATAGTAGGCAGTGATGTAGTTGTGATTATAGATTGCACTCGTTGATGTAACTATATTTAAACCATGTCATAAAATTATTACACAAAATTAAAAAATAAAAATTTAGATATTTGCTTTGTAATAAATAAAATCAAAATTCAATTTAGTAAAATTTACATGATTACTTACGTTTTCTCAAATTTATTAATCATCAGAAAAATAAAAGAAAATGCAGGAGAAAAGAAAAACGCAATTTTATTTTCATTACTATATTTTTCTCACGTTTCTTGAAATCCAAACACATCTATTTATTATCTATTGATAAAATAATACAATAAATATCCGCATTATCCTAAAATTAACAAAATATCTTCCTTTTTTTTTTCTTTTGTATTCCTTGTTCTAAAGTGTGCAATTCTTTTTTTGAAGCTTCTTTCCAAACATTTGTTCTTACAAATTTAAATGCAGTATCCCTTATAACAACAAACAGCCTTAGCCAATAGTGTATTCGATATTTAAAAAACTTAAAGCGGACAAAATGAAAAATCATCGATAACGTATAGATTATATAAAGTCTTAAAATATCGAATTCGACAGCAAGAACGTGTTAAGAGCAATAACAAAAAAGGGGGAACATTTATGACATAAAATACAATAAACATAATTTTCTCCAATTTCATGTGCGCCCCTTGTAAAAATAGTAATAGCAAATAGAAAATGAAAATTAATACCATAAAGGCAAGATACATTTGCATTCGATTTTTTTTTATTGTGATCTATATTAAATATATTAGCATTATTTGTGTAAGGATCATTGAATTTATCATCCAGTAATTTACATTGCGATCCTATTCATTAAGTGAAATGTACGATTATTAAAGAAAATTCTTATCATGACAATTCCCTTTATGATCCAATATGGACTAAACTTTTTGCAACTTTTTCACGACTTTTTTTTCTTTCAATCATTTTATAAACAACATAAGACTGTAGGTTCTCTTGTACAAATTTTCGTCTTCATATATTTCTTTTATCAATAATTCGAATTATCTTATAGCTAGATCGTTTTTTTTTCTTTTTCTTTTTTTTTTTGAAGATATACTTCAGACAAGAAATAAGAACAAATTTTACAATTATTGTTAAATCATTTTGGATAAAAATAACAAGAGTAGACGAATGAAAACGAAAACAAATAGTTCGAGCCCTGAAATCGAAATCTAGTAAAAAGAGAGATCATAATAAGATGAACTCCATGGATCCCACGATCCTTTGCTATTATAAATGCTACAAAGCATCGACAATAAAAACGAATGTTTTTTCTTTCTTTAAACTTTAAGAACCTTACGTACAGTAAGAGTAATATTTTCCTGTGTTGTATTGTAAAATAGAAATTTGTGGAAATTACTACGGCTAAGTCAGTTAAGTAGACATCTCTCGTTATCCTGGCGATATCAACGTATCTCACGGCAAGGTGTAGCGAACATATGGAACTTCCACATCATTGCCGTCAGTATCGTTACAGCAGAGTTCGAATACCAACGCACGTACATGACTTTCCAATTTTTTCTTTGATACTTTCTTTACCACTTCAGACATCAAAAGGCCCATACGTTCCTGGCATTTGGGTTTCGCCATAAAGAACGAATAAAGCATGCAAACACCTTGAGAGAGCATGGTGACCTCCAGATTGTGATGCTCTTTGAAGTAATCCAAGAAGTCTTTCAGTGTTAATTCTCCCTTCACTTCGAATCGGTCCCATAGCGTCCATTCTGTGTCATAGTATTTCAGTTTTGGTGCAGCAACAGGCTCCGAGAAACCAAAGAATGGTAGAGCCAAGTTGACAAAACCATTCTTATAAACAGACAAATCCTTTACACCACGAGTCAATTTAATAAGCTCGAGGCAAACTAAACCTGCCACTACCGAAGTAGTAGTGGCGATAGCTGGTATTATTTTACCAGCAATTAGTTTACTCTTGTGTCTGTCAGCTGGTGGAATTTTGTAGTTAGTAGCACGGAGATTTGAAGCTGCCACGATGAAGTCTATGTGGAAGTTGGTATCGTCATCTTTCTCGAATTCTTGTGGGTATATTACCAGACCGTTGAGATCTTCAACCCTTGGTAATTCTTCTTGTAATTGACTGAGCCTTTCGTGATCGATATTTCCACTACCATTGGACACCTGTACTTGTGAATCCGTCTCCGCAATTTTCACTCCAGATTTCGGCGTGAAATCCGGCACTTCAACAGTGCTGACAATCCTAGCGATTTCGTCTCGATTTCTATTAATAGGAATACCGTAGACTTTTGCCTTTAAATTAGCAGCAGCTACAATATAATCTAAATGTAGTGGATCATTAACATTAAACGTAAGTGGTTCAGGACATCTTTTTGGCCCAGACCAAAATGGCTGACCGCTAGACGTTACTTGATCAGGAGGAAAGTTGAATAGAAGTTGTCTGATCTGATTGCTATACTGTTCCTGCCAGTGGCAACGAGCCCATGCGACGCAATCGGCAAATGTTTTTGGCCTTTCATCAATCAAGGCTGTCTTAACGGATTCTAGTACTTCTAGTGGCTGAACTCCTGGTAGTTTTAACGTTCTCTCCACAAACTGTGAATCAGATATATATTGAGCGGCGTTCTCCGCAGCTTGGCGAAATAGACCTTCGAAATTGTCTCTGGCCCATTGCAAAGTGTGTTCTATAGCATTGGGAAAATTCTTTAGTGTACAAATTGGTATACTTTTCTCTGGAGGATCTTGGGAGGAGCTGTATGATTCGGTTAAGAATGGAACAACAACTTGAGTATTGCCCTTTGTACCTAATGTACCAGATTCCAAGAGAGGTTTTCTATAATATACACAACGACGATCCATGTAAATACGGGCGTTCACATTATCCAACGCATTCGCAACCCCGTCTAAAACCTCGAAAAAGTCGTCGTTATATATCTTTTCTGTTTCGGGGCACACTCTGTTTTCATGGGCAATCACCTTCATATCTGGATTCATACTCTTTATGACTCTAGCTGCTGTTGATGATTTGGACTGTTGAACATCAGACGGTCTAAACAAGAATTGTCTGTTCAAGTTAGATTTTTCTATCAAATCCATATCAGTGACGATCACACTACCATTCTCAGCACCAACACCTAACATTGCAAAGTTCTTGAGCAATTCACATCCAATAGCGCCAGCTCCAACAACAAAGTATTTCAAGCTCCCAATCTTCGATTGGAATTTGCGGCCGAAAACGGCAATCTGTGAATCATAACGCGACCCAATAGGGTGGCAATCTTCTTCTGAAAGTTCAGAACGATCTGCAGGTAAGCACTCAATAGCATCAAAATACAACCATTGGAATATAGGATGGAACTTTCCAGAACAAGCTTTCATCACCTCTTGGGCTACAATTCCTCCGATGGTAGCATTCATTGGATTTAAATTTCCAGAGGATATTTTTGCAAATATTTCAAACAGTTCTGTATTTATTTCAATTTCACTGCCCACTTCCTCTTTTACAGTTTTAGCTAGATTCAAGAATTTATCTGCATCCTGTTGATTCCATGGTTTAGGTAATTTTTCATTTTCTTCCATGTAACTATGCAATACAGTGAAAGCCAAATGTAATTGTTCTGGATAATCAAACTTTCCAAAATCAGTAATTTGAAACTTTGGTGTCTTCAAAGCATCTTTCAGAGAAGCAAACTGTAATATCTTTGGCATTTTTACTTGTGTTACTATACCACCACGAATATATTCAGAGTACTTAGATGTATCCCCAATACTGAAAGTATATGGGCCAAGAACTTTTATCTTTATCGGGTCACAACCATTCAGTTCTGTCATACCCTGTACTTCAGAGAAGGTAACATAGTCACCATCCTCCATACTATGGCGTGTGTCATCTAAACAAGTAACAACACCTTCGGAATCTTGCGAAATACTGGCAACCATTGCACTTACAGGTGGTTCACCATTTATGTCAACTACTGTAAACTTTTCTCCAAAGTCACAAAAGACTTGAGAAAATAGGCCTCTGGTGTCTGCTATGATAAGCGCAATATCATTCGCGTGAGTAATCTCAGAGATACGTAATTGTTCTTTCAATGAAGTTTCAGTCAAAACCACAACCTTGAACTTTTTGATATAAGAATCAGTTAAAGGCCCTGAATAATGACGTGTGGGGACATAATTGTTCAGTTCAGATAAGCGTTGGCAGCAGGCAACAGCACGATTTTTACCTAAAAATAAAATTACAACAATATAGTTTTACTATATATATGTATATAGTTTACTAATTGTGTCTGTATCATGTTTAATTAGACAATACTTAAATACACCATAGAAAAGTTTTTTAGTTTCTTACAAATTGGACAATAATCACATCTCCTAATATTAAAAAAAAAATGTTTAAAGAGTAAAAGTTGGCTCTTGAATAACTCTAATATTAAAAACCATTCTTAACAGTTTGGTTCTAACACGATAAAAATTCAATTTATACAGACATATGCATAGATACATACATTAGTCAAAATTTCCATATAGTTCTTAGCATTTACGTCTAAAACACAACGCGACACACAACGTGTATCTATTTAAAGAAACATTTTTATAATAACACTTTGATGAACGAGACAATTGGTAAGATCTCATAACAATGGATCGAATTCACAATAAACGCTGAACCGATCGAAATAACATTGAGAAATAATTATTCCTGTGGGAGGGCATTCATATGTTTCGCGGGTAAGGCTGCTCACCTATGTCCGCTTCGGTAAGATAGAACTGCGAACCAAGATCTGAAATCTGGCACAACGCGTCATCGTGCAACGTAACAGACTTAACGCCGCCGAGGATGACGTTCTTGGCGATTTCGACGCCGAGTCCGCCGAGACCGGATATTAAGACATCGGAGGATGCCATGCAACGCATGGCGTCATGGCCGAGAACATAAAGCTGCCTGGAGTATAAACCTTCGTCGATTTCGGCGGAAGCTCGGGACGTCGAACCGTTTTTCGCCATGTCTGCAATCGTCGTCGAATCGTCGGCTCCTCCCGTGGTGGCAGCAACGCGTCGCTTCTTAGCTGGGGGGTCAACGGAGCTTTCCACCACCTCAGCACTAGACATCGGACTTCACGGGGCGCCGTATTATGTCCGTCGATTGTTTTTCAACCCGGCCGACTGCACTTTAATAAAGCCCGTAACTTCACCGCACGCACGCACGCACCGACCTTGCCACACGCGCCCGCTCTCGCTCTCTCTCTCTCTCCCCCTTTCTCTCTCGCTCTTTCTCTCTCTCTCTCTCACACCGCGCCTCTCTTCTACCGTTCTTCGTTCTTCCTCTAGTTTCCAGTTTATCCTTCCGAAACTGTGCCCGAACTCTACCACGATACCACTGTTCATCCAACAATGATTCTCGTTCTTTCATCCGCTCTGTTGCTGCTCGCTCGCAGTCGCACCACCAGCAATCGCGATGTCGATGCTTCCTCGATAAGGTGAGGATGGGGATTCGTCCAGTCGGTAAAACAGCGATACCGCCTTCCCCGTGAAACAAAGCCGTCCCTTTTTCTGCTCTGTCCAATACTTTTGATGATTTCTGATGACGACATGCGACGGAAGACGACGAAAATAGAAGACAGATTGATCATTTCCACGATAAAATTTTGCTCGCTATCACTTCTTTATTTTCTCGTTGCAACATCGTTGGTTAACATTACATCGTGAATTTTGCATTTGAATGGCGCTCGGTGATTGGAGCGCGAAACAAGCGAATGAAAGAGCAGATCGAACGGATAGTTGGAACTGATTGGTCGGCAATGTTGTACACTATTTCAATTGAAATGACTCGGACCAATAAATAATTTGACTCTGAAATCGGATAAACGCCATCTGTGTACGCATTATCGTTGGCGACTATCGTCTCTAATTTACTAATTTTATGTTTTTGCTTATCTGACGTGGCAAGATGCTTATCTAATAAATTACACATATATGCATCACTAGTAAATTATTGGCACGCAATTGTAGAATCGCTTTGTTCGCGTCAGACATATTAGGTCACGTGTCTTTCTATAGATTTTTCTTATACGGGAATGAGACATTGTTTTCTTAACGTTCGTTCTACTTTTTAGTCACTACAATGACAATACTTTTTTTTTATTTATTTGTGTTATTTTTAACGATCGTTCAATAATCAGGTTCCAAATCCAGTTAAAAAACAAAACAGTATGTTTCAACGAAACTGTAAACATATTCAGTGAATAGTTAGGTAATAAGAAACAAAATCTCGTAAAACAAATACTTTATTGTTTGTAATTTGATCCATGACCTTGCCATTACAGATTTTATACTATTCAGAGGTAGAATTCAACAATATCGATAACCTGAGTCATTTTTTCTCCCTCGTGAAAAAAAGAACTGACCTTTAGATATTCAGGCTGTTTAAGCTCACACATTATTATATACTTTTATACATAGAAATAATACTACGCGTACTACACGTTTTTCGTTATTTTCAAAATACGATATTGCTGTGTGTTACCATTTCAAAAAACTCGTCTTGCTCTCTTTTTCAAACCTAGCATCAATGCATATTTTCGCTATCAAACTTTAATCATCCGTTCAAAATAATCCTTTTTAATCATCTATTCGAAAACTTCCTCTCTATCATTTTTCTAACTAATTTGCACGTACATCCTTCCTAATTCGGTTTTTCATCTTTACAGTCGATCCAATGCCTTTGACCTAGACAAGGGTCATCGCAATGAAAATACATCAGACTATCGTGCTTATTCGAGTGTTCAAAGTGGTTTATCCTCGTCGTCAGGAATCGGACTTCCAAAAGCTCTTTGAGTAGTCTCATCCTCTTTCTCTTTCGGTTTCCTTGGTGTCCTCGTCGTGTGGTCTTCGGATTCCGGAGTACCGAACGGCGACAAGATGTGCGATACCGCCGGAAATGGCGCTGTTGGCGCGTCTGACTCAGCTGTATCCGGTGTTGAGTTTACTATCTCCAGAGGACCGCTGAGAATCGAGTCTGGAGATTCGTTGTACGAATGATCGGTCGGTTGAACCGGTTCGCCCAGAGGATCGTTCGTCTCCGACGGTCTTCGTTCCTCAGGGACTGTTGAGGTTCGACGTATGCTCGCCTTTTTGTATCTGTTACCATGTATTCCTCCAATTAATAGATAGAATGATTCTGATCAGATCAGACATCACAACACATTGTAGACTAAAGTCTTGGCAAATGCCTTGATAAACTTAACCAAAATTTTAGAAATTAGGTTGGATTGGATTATTCTATATATTGATTAATGATTGGTCAAAATAACGCATTTTAGATTTTCTAACTTTATGATTACTCAAAGTAATTATTAAATTCATATTTTTATGAATAGAATTTAACAAATGGAACTTGGATATTTTCAGCAAATTTTTGTCTCTTTTAACTCTATACATGCATCATATCTGTAGTCTAGTCCAATCACTATTAAATTAAGCTAATGTTTAATTTATTTTAATTTATAGATATTTAATTAAATTATATTATTTCACTTGTCATATCTGTGAAATAGACTTGATTGATGATACGAATCAATTATTTTGTTTCAAAGAGGTTAAGTTTAGTATAATACTTCTAGTCCACAATGTGGGTAATTGTCTCTTAATTCATTTAAAGAAATTATAATTAATGCATTTAGAATGAATTACAATATTAATTTGCATTGCAATTGGTTTCAACGGAAGATCAATATTCACTGATTTTTTGGATATTAGATGTAGGATTATAATGATTTATTGAGTACCACCTACTGATTAACGTCTATCGGTGATATAGTTTGATCCGGACTCATTCTCGTCATCCCGTTTCCATTGTCCCATGAATTGTGTCGGCGATGATGACTCTTGTCTTTGTACGCTTCTGCTATGTTATTATAACTTCCCATAATCCTACGTCTATCCAGTTCCTTTTGGATCTTCTCTGGCATACTAGTCGCAGATCTGTATAATCCACGTCTGATCATATCCTAGAGATTTAAATTTTAATGTTTGATGTATCTTTTAAATATATAAAATATAAATATATAAACTGTATTTAAATAGATACAGTGATAAATAAAAGAAAGTTTAAAAAATAATACAGCATCTAATAAAATAATTTAATATCAAATCAATATCAATAATTTAATATCAAACAGATATCAGAAAGATATTCTAAAGGATATTTCAAATCTCAACTCTCTTTTATATCCAATGTTGTGATCAGCATGCATTGGTGTTTTACAACTCAAATGTTACATACACTCGAAAGTGGCGTAGGTTCTACATTAGGGTTGGTCCAAACGTTAGTCGCGCCAGGTGTATCGTCGTTATCGTTCAGTATTTCCGCCGAATAGGTTGGTCTGGCAGGTATGATCGGCGACCGACAACACACTCTGCAATAATAAAACCTATCGGATTAATTGGATATCGAGATCGTCTCAAATCTTGCTGTACTTACGAGTTAACATCCTCGAGTTTCTTCAATAATCTCTCGTTCTCTCTGCAGACAAGTTCCTGATCCCGTATCACTTGCTCCCTTGTAGCATATAATTCCGCATTTTCTCGACGGAGAGCTTCATTCTCGGTGATGTATGCGTGGATAAGTTGACTTAATTCGGGTTGTTCCATTTCGGATAGTTTATCCAAATCTACCACTGGAGGTGTCAATGGTACTCTTCTTTCAGCTATAAAAATTTCAACTTCATTGAATTATGTGCTTAAAAATATTTCGCAGCAAAATTTTCTACATCTCTCTTTGATATTACTTTAACGCAATATTTCATTTGCATTTCCTTTCAATCAATTCGTATCGTCAAAGTTGAAACATTATTTCATCTTTGTGCTTTCGAATACTTGAATAATTTCATGAAATGTAATTGTTCAATTTTTCTTGTTAAATTTTCGTATTTAATTCTCGATTTAATCGAATCATTCTTATTAATTGATACTTGACATTTACTTTTGGATTCGCTACGACTTGTGCTCGAAGCATTTTCGTTTAAACGAAGAGCCGCTCGTAGATGTTCGTTTTCCGTCTGAAGAGCTACAACTTCTCGTTTTAAGCTGAGAATTAAAGCGTCTCGAGGATCCTATAAAATTTTATTGTACGTTCCATTTATTTATATCCCATGTTTCCTATATAATTGACAACTTAACAACCAACACGTACCATTACTACGATAGGTTTCGTTCGAATCTTTTTCACTCTCGCCGCGTATCTCAAAGTATTTAACGTTTCGCTCGCATTTGATTTAGCTGGCGAGATACAGGCGATCTAAGATTCAGTGAAAACCAATTCAATTAGTTATGCTTATTGAATATATGATTGTTAAGTTTTTCTAATTGAAATAATTGAAATAATTTGATTTACCATTAATGTAACACCATTTCCTGCTAAACTATCGGCCAGAAGCTTAGTCAGTTTGCTATCTCGATACGGAATGTGGCCACCCTTGCGTTTTCCATCACTTAAAGAGGCTATGCAGTAACCTTCAAAGTAAAAAGTGTCTATCTGAAAGGAAGTTGGAGAAACTTCTCTGCAGAAGTTGATACTACGAATAAAAAGTTGGCGCCATTTCGGAATCGATCACTACGATCCTTGTGCATAATTGACAACGCGAAGTTTGTCCAAGTGGTAATATTAAAACCGCGGTTCGATTAATTTGGTAATTGAATTTTCGACGTGATTCTGACCCGACATGGACTTTGGAAAGATTGAACGTTTTAATACTTTAGTGATTAATTTGCATTGTACTTTGCGGTTGTAACTTTCTGATGATTAATACCTAAAACCATGAGACTTTTATTGATATTATTCGCTTCCTCCAGTGTTTTCCCTTCGCTCTGCGTTTTCTTCGTCATTTCACTTCCTGCCAGATCGACAAAGTTAATCTTCCCTTGCCTCGATATAAATACGCTGTTATCCATCTATCGATATTAACGATTTGTATAAATTTGTATCTTTACGTGATAATTAGTACACTCACCTGCTGCTCAGATGTGATACTGACGGTGAGGATGCTGTGACTTCTACTGGAATGGTCGTTCATGTTGTGCGAGCCCACCTTTCTATTCCTCATCCCTGAAGAATCATGTTATTAGACACATTTCTCCAACATCTCTAACATTTTTTTTAAAATAATATCAACAACGTGAAATTTTACAAGATAAATATTTATTAAATTTTATTGCTGTTTCTTAATC